CAAATTCAAAGCTGGAAGCGATCGGCAATATATGTATGTGATCATGCCTTTGCCGAGCAATTGACTTTCAGTTTTCTACTGTCAAGCTTTAAGCACAATTACCAGGGAGAGATGAATTTGCCCGTTTCTATGTTCGTTGTCTGCTGGTTTGTTTTCATGCAGCTGTAAGCTCCGCAATAGAAGTAAGTACTTGTACCCTAACTCAGATGACATTCTTCCATATATGTATGCAGGCCCAAGGCAAACCATTAGAGACGCCTACTCATACACCCGGACCATTGCGGAAAGCGCACATGGGTGTGAAATATATTTTTCTAAATAACAAGTAAACAATAACCAGTCTCGCATCACACCTTTTCAACAAACACAAACAAACGACCGTTAATCTGAATGCAGACGCAGTTCCGTCCTTTCCATTTTTGCATTTTATTTTCACGAAAGGTGGCTTTCATGGCTTTTGGGAAAACTGCTTTGAGTAGGAATTAGTGGGCGTGTGAATGCGAAAAGGTGTGAGCCTGTTGTAAAGGTGTAAAATAATTCATCAAATGGCCACAGCGAATATATCGATTGCAGCCCAGGCCTCGGCGCCTGAGGCCCCAAGCATCATAAAAGGTGGGCCTGCTCAGAATTATGTGCGGTTTAAAAAAATATATGTTCTCAATTCCCTATCTGCCTTCTCTCCAAAGCAGCTGCAGTCATTAGGTAGGGTTAATGGAAGCACCGGCCATGATTTGTTAACAAAGCCTCGGTGAAATATTTCCTGGCCTCGTATTTTTTTTAGCTCATCATTTATGTTATCTAAAGTTTAGACATGTTTAGGGTTCATATTCGTGGTTCTTTCGGTAAAGTCACGTAGAAGGGGAACACCTGATGATGATCGCTTGTGTTGCAGTCGAAACGTCGTGAGAATTTTATCGTTTTGTATTTTTATTATTTTATTGTTTCCCTTCTACGTAACTTTACCAAGAATATGAATCCCTGCAGTCACGAAAGCTTTAAATCAAAATGCTTAGGGTTGTTCATGTCATTTCTTTTGTTTGCTCGTTTTGTAGTTTAATCGAAGCAGAAAGTTACACCTGCGGGTTCTGTATTTGCGATGACCTCTGGCAGAGTGTGCTTGCCCCGTGGAGTCTGCCACTCCGCAAGCAGTTTCATCTGCGCCCCCCCCCCCCGTCAATCCGTCCGCGATGTTTCGACAGAAGTGTCAGTGGATCCTTCGAGCACTCCGCAAAACGCATTCCGCTACGAATGCAGTGTGCTCAGGTCGTGTGTGCGAATTGGCTTTTTCTTCTGAGTGCAATGCGTTTTTGCGCCACCGTGTGTAATAGTACCATTATCTAAACATTGAGCAGGGGGTGGGTTGGGTTGAGATGGGGGGGCGGGGGGAGGGCAATGGAATAAAAAAAATTGTGGGTGCATAAGAACATTAAAACCGTTAATTATGTCGAGGCCTGAAGGAAAAATTGCGGCGTAGGCGATTATGCCTTCCCTTGATTACACTTGCAACATTGGAGCATATATTTCAGCGTGCGCTTGGCTGCCTCGATAAAGCTGCACCGCGATCAGAGGGGGGAATTGAAATGATGCGGGCGGTGAGGGAGGGGGGCATGGCTCGGGGAGTGTGTCGGGGGTGGCACGGGGAGGCGGGGGTGGCGGTGGGGGAGCTCAGGGCAGAGGGCGTAGGGTCAGAAGTCACGGTCACTGGCAGCAGGTCCGGATCGACGTGAGTGCGGGTCTCTCGGTCAGTGGTTAAAAAAAAAAAAGCAAAGGGGTTAAGTTGAACACGTCGCGATGTTTTTATTCAGAAGATCGCGCCGCTTAAAAATGCATGGGCTTCGCTGATGTATGCGTCATTGTACGGAAGGCAGGCCCTCACACACTGGCATGAATGTATTTATTTGCAAGCAGTGTGAGTCTGAAAGGCTCCGTTATAATGTTTTAGGATTCAATATAGGCACGCCTAGGGGAAGACGGAATGATCTTGGGGGTAGGGTGGCGTAGAGAGTGTGAGACCCGTGCGGGCTGTGGTGTGTGTGTGTGGTGGGCGGTTGGGGCGATACCGTCGCAAATAGCCGCCAATAGGCCCTTGCGTTCACAAATCTTTCTCGTGGCATTTCTCTCTCCCCCATAGCGTGTTTGCCCAGAGCGTGCCACAATCTTTTTGGGTTTTCTTGTCGCCCGTGGCCGCGTGTGCAATGTGTTACTACCAAACGAAAATGATCGGAGCAGTGGATCGCATTAAGGGACGCGGATGGGGTGGGGGTGGGGTGGGGGGGGGGCAGCCTCTTGCACGACGAACGCAGGCACGGATGCGGCCGAACACAAATAGACATGATCCCAGCAGCACGCTAGCGTCCCTCGTTTGTTTTTTGTTGTTCAAACCTTCATTGGCTTCAGCCCGGGAGCGCGAGAGCGAGCGCGAGAGCGAGAGAGAAAAACAAAAGTAAAGCCAAAGCGCCGGCTACAGTCGGGGTCGGCCTCGATGTTTCACTGCGTTACCATTGGACTTCTTGGATTCCGCGCAACTTACCTGAGTGCGGGGACCGTGAGCTAACCGACGGGGCTCTCCCCCCCCTCCCCCCCCCCCCCCAGAGTGTCTCCCCTGCTTTCACGAATTGCTCTTCGGTTGACGGAGCCGCTTGCCATTTTATTGACGCGTTGGCCACGTCTCAGATGTAAGGGAGCGGCAGTTTGTTGGAGCGCAAGGCGGCATTTGTTCGGTTGTGTGCCTCATCGTCGTCAGCACTGCATTGCCAAGTGCGGCGTGGTTCCTTTCAATGCGGGATTAGCAGTGCCTGAATACATTCTTTGGGTATGATCTAAAATATTAACTTTTTTGTTACACCCCTCCCCCCCCCCCACCCTAAATGTAAAAATAATTATGAATTAACCAAGTCAAAAAGTAAGTGTTCTATTATTGTTAATTTATGGAAGCAACTTGGGATTTTTTTGTTTATATTCTTTCCTTAAATCCACACACAATTTCCAATGTCGGCACTTCAATGTAAAATGTTTCATTTGCGCCACATCAAAATGATAGTCTTTCCTTAATCATCGCTCGCAATTTTTATTGCCATACATTTCCATGCGGAATATATGAATTTCTCCTCTGCGTTCCTGGATATTACGGGCGCATTATTAAAACGTCTTTTAATATTTCCAAGTTGTAAGGGATATTTTTTTTTAAGGTCACATCATTGAGCATGTTACTGTTCTGCATTTCTTATTTGACGTATTTTGAATGGAACTCCAGTTAACGCAATGGGAATTACCCAAAACTCCCCGATGCCCGTGGATTGTTATAACTCAGCACACCAGGAGTGGGACATGGAACCACATTATCGCACGTTACGCACTCCTCTGACAACTTGCGGCTTAAACATTAACCGAGATCGGGAAGAGGGGAAGAAAAAAAAAGCCCGCCATCAAATGGGTGGCTTTGTAGGGTGTCAAACAACAACAACAACAACAACAACGAAAAGGTCCGTCACACCCCCCCGATCCTACTCCTCACTATCCCCACGCCTCGTACAAATTACACCACGCGAAGAGGCAGCTGTAGATAATTGGGCCCCAACCGTCTACGGAAACCGCTCCCCCCCCCCCCGCCCCCGCCCTGCCCAGCCTCACCACCCGCTCCGTCGCCAGCGCCACCCGCAACCAACGGCGCCCTTCTGGAGCCGCGAAGCGAGGGCCGCCGCGCTCCTCCATTCCTGCAAGAGACATTCACGTCGAGGGGCTGACACGCGCGCGCGCACGCACGCACACGCGGCGTTAACATCGTGCAGCGCAATTAGATCTGGCCTTCGCCCATGCCGCGGCCCAAAATACCCGCGTGGCATTCGATGTTCCCTGTGCCAATAAGGGGGGCTGCGTGCGGGGGGGGGTGGGGTGGCGTCGTCCCTAAAATTGGTGAGCCGCTTTTTTTTTGCGTTTCATTTCGGCGCGCTTGTCGACGCCCAGCGAAAGTGTCGCGTTCGCTCGATTCTCTTTCGCCGTTTGATGTGCTCGTGTGGTTTCGTCGTTGTTGTTGTTGTTGTTGCTGCTGCTAATGTGTTAAGTGTTCAGCGTTCCACGATGACTTCCCTGCAACGATTATTGTAAAAAAAATCCTAACCGGATGAAGAATGTCACCAGTGTCAGCCCCACAGCAGACTCATTAGTTTCCCCCCGAGGTGAGACGGGAGCAGAGTTAGGGGTGACGTGGTGCAAGCCACACGGCTGTCTTCATCGCTAATTAGGAGAGGGAAGGAGATTGGGGCAATAAGTGGCATCTCGTGCTCGCTGATCTCTTGCGGTGTGACGACGATGTACATCCTTCCCCATCCGCCCACCACCTTACATTCGATATACGTTTCAACAAATACACACGTTTTAGAATGTTAACACAATCTATAGAGAGAGCGAGCGTGCGTTCGTTCGTCCTACAATGCCTGCGCACTCGTATTGATTAATTTTACTTACCAGTTTTATACGTATATTCCTTAAACATTTTGACAACAAACGCTTTGCGTCGCGACCAAGTGTGGGCGGGTGGTCGTGCAACGACGCTCCCCCCGCCCCACCCCTACAGCCCCCCTATCCCCCCCCCCCTACCCCCTCCCCTCCCGGCGCTCCTCCGCGTGGGTACCCATGACATGGCACCCCCCTCCCCTCCCCTTCTCCCTTCCCCCCCCCCGATCCCTGTCACACAGAGAGAGGGGGAGCGAGCGAACGCAACCGCCAAGGTGAACTGCTGAGATGTACATTACATCGCTACGGGCCGCGGACACGTGATTGGATCAGCCCGTCGACCACTTCGTTTTTATTCCTCCCCCACCCCCCCCCACCCCACCACCACCACCACCACCACTCCCTTCCTCCCTCCCTCCTTGACGGCTTTCGCCCAATCCCAGCTGCCGAATCTGGAAGCCAATTGTGGCGTGCGTCTACGCTGCTGCTCTTGACACCCCCACCCCACCGTCGTGCTGAGCCCAACTTGGGGTATCCCCCCTCCCCCCCCCCCCCCGCTGTAATATTTCTAACGCACTTCCTTTACCGGTGGTTGCTTGCGTGCACTAAGCTCGAAGCAGCCAGCAGCCAGCAGCCAGCAGCAGCAGTGGAAGAAGCAAAACATCCGAGCAAAGGATTTCGCGTCAAGCTGAGACTAGGAGCACAACGTGCTTGCCCGCCCCCACCCCCCCCCCCCCCCCCCCCCCACGGCATAGTGTCATGAGAGTGTTGGGAACGCCAGAAGCTTGCCCCACCCATAGATAAGCGGGGTAGTTTTAAATATATATTTTTTTATTACCGACCGTTTTTATTTTTCTCCACCATCACCTCGACCTGCCGCGGTTCACGCCGGCTTGAGCTGGCCCGTCTTCCGTAAAGCAACAAAAGTAACTCCTTTCTTTTCCTTGGCTTCCGAGAGAGCGCCCAAATTCACCGCACCAGCGCGACACCCCCCCCGCCCGCCTCTCGAGAACTGTCGCAGCTCCCCCCCCTGCCCAGCACCACCCGGCCGTGCGCTCGTCTCCCGGTGCACCAAGAAGACCAGCTGTGCTGAACCCCTCTATTCAGAGCATAACCGACCTGACGAGACCCCCAAGCCAAGGGCCATGTTATCCTCACCGGCTGTGGTGCTCCATCACTACGGCATACCAGTGTTCGCTCAGTCCGCGCAGTGCTATGCCGCAGCCGGGGTGATTCAGGTACCGTGACCCACTCACATGTATCCTCTTTCCTTGGTTTTCTCATTGAAATATTTATTTCTTCCCCACTGCCCCTCCACCACCACCACCACCAACCCATGTGATTTTCCCTGCCTGCTTGCCTGTCTCTGTGCTCTTTTGCTCTGGATGTCCGTCTCCCTCTCTTAATATCCAACTCTGTCTTTTACACAGCCTTCTCTCTTCCTCTCTCTCTCATTGTTGCTCTCTGCTACGTTTTTTTCTTCCATCTCGTGCCGAGTCTGCGTCATACCCCACCTCTTTCCGTTCTCCGTCTCTGTGTACGCAGCAAAGTGCTTTCCCTCTCCGTGCACACCGCTACGCATCCCCCTTTCGTCGTCGCCGACAATAAAATGTGTTAGTCTTCAGCGCGTACATCGGTATCTTTCGCGTTGTGTAAAATTCTACGCGGTCCAACTTGCCGGAGGGTGTGCGTGGTGGGGGGGGGGGGGGGGGGGGGCACGTGCGTGCGTGCGGGCGGTGGAGTTTGTTGTGGACAAGGGTCTGTGTTTGGGGATGTTGCAAATCAATAAGACAAATAGCAACGATGCCCGTATGGAAATGAGCGCATGTATGATGAATGTTGCTACACAGGCGGAATACTTTGTTATTGATTCGCAGCAGGGATAACGGGTCATTTTGCTGATTATGGTCTTCCTTTCCAGTCTACAGAGATGTGCATCTCACTTTGTCTCCGTGGGTCCTACGGCGTGATAAATGAAAAGAGCATTAATTGGTCAGCGGAATGAGAGGGGAGCAAATGTCAAGGGTCATTTCACTTACGATGCAGCACAAATATTTGAAGCGCAATTCGCGACTATCGACCTGTTGGTTTATAACTAAGCAACGTTACGGCGGCAATAAATCCATGCTCGCGATGAATATTAATTCGTAATGAACGCAGTCTCATCCACGAATAGTTTGGAATGTAAACCGTAGTTATGCGAACTCCATCCACAACAGCTCGCGTGTTAGGACGCGCGCGCATGTGTGTGTGTGTGTGTTTGAGACCAGCGATGTTGTTTCTCGCGAGACGAATGCTATCACCCATTGATCCATTACATAGCTATACCGCTGCCACCCATTCATTGTAATTTTGCCATGCAAGACGCTTGGAGCCCAGGGTGTGTAACACTAGCTTCTTCAGTGGTCGTGTCTCGCGTTGCCTTTCTCCCCAATTGCTTAAACATTTCTTGCATCTAGCTGCCATCAAATGATAGGGCTCCTCACTGGCCCAGTCAATGCAATTTTGTTCTAAAAGGCACGCATTTTTTTGTAAAAGGGCTAGAGTGGAGGGTTTGCCTGTGCACCATTTTTGAAGCGACTACAATTTCTGTGCAATCCCTTTAACGATGGGGAAATATTTAAAATTGCATGCAGAATGTATGAAGTGTTAATGACGTAATTTAATACAGCCGTGAAATGTAGTTTTAATATTGTATGTAATCTGTGGCAATTTTCTTGTTATCTTACTTCACTGTAAATCACGGTGGAAGTGGGCGGATTGGTGTGCATATCTACATGACGCAAGCAGACACGTGTGTTTTGTGTGGAATCACACGCGTGTGTCTGTGCACGCACATACAGATGTGTGGGTACACGATGAACACGCACATTTATCTACGAATCGTTCCAATGTGCGTGTGCATCATGCAACGCACAAATACAACGCTCCCCATATAGCCTTTAACAGACTTTTCGGGGCAGGTGATGCAGCGTGCACATATGAACGTGCGCATGGCACACGAAGTCCGTGGTTGGCCGGCGCCACGCGCGGCCGTCTTTGTCTGCCCAGTTCTGATGTTTGCACACCACCGCAGGTACTCATTTAAGGCCAAGTCGACTTAGGGGAGGCCCAGCACCGGTTCAAATATTCGTCACTGTTGTTGGCCGTGAGGGGAAATCGCACGCGGGTCCACCGAGTTTGCCGCGCGTTACGCTAAACACCACACCGCCACTCTCAACGTAACATTACACACACACACACACAGATCGCCCGTATAGCCTAAACCGACTGTGGGGGCAAGTGCTGTTAGCGAGCACCTCTGAAATCAGGCACGGCACACGAGGGGGTGGGTGGCCAACACCACGCCCGGCCACCTTTCTTTCCTTAGTGGCGATGTTTACACACCACACCAGGTACTTATTTGAGGCTGAGTCGATGTACGTTACACACACACACATATATTGATACACACATACAAAAGACAAAGATCTCACACACAGACTGTTGGGGCAAGTGCTGCTAGAAAAAACCTATTGAGGCTCGTGCGTCACACAGCGGATTGATGTGACCAGGGCTACAATTGGACACTTTTGTCTTATTCAGTACTGGTGCTTATACACACACACACAGCTGTACTCTAAAGTGGCATGAGGGAAGGCTCAAAACAGGTTCAGATGCCACCAAGGTTGTCCATTACTGGGAATCAAACCTGGGTCAAAGCACGTTCACGGCACAGTGGTGTGAACTACCTAACCGCTGAACCTCGCCCCGTACACGTACAGCACACACGTGCACACCGTAAAGAAATGGTCGAGAATAAGATCATTTAACCCCCATCGCGTCTCGTTTTCGCGGTGGCCGCGAAACGCGCCCCTTATGAGTGCAATGGGCAGGCGTGTGGGCTTGACAGTTTGGTGGAATTACATTTCGCGAAAGTTCTAAGCTGCTTCGAGCGGGGGTGGGTGGGGGGGGGGAGTAAATGAAAAAAAAATAGTCAGATCGCTTAATTTGAAACACGGACTTGTATTTAAAAAAAACCAAAGCAAATGAATAAACATGCTTACTAACTTTGCGGCTGGAGGACCGGCAGAGAGAGAGAAAAGCGGCAAATAAAATTGCATATCCGTTGCGGGAGCGCGCTCGCCTTCGCAGTGGGAGAACGGTCGGTTGGATTTGGGAAAGCGGGCGCGCAGCGTCCGCGTGGTGCACAGCCGCAGAGAGTGAATGCTTTTTCTCCGGATGCTCCAAAAAAAAATAGCCACGGAACTGCTCCTTCGCTGACCTCAGGGTGGTGTTTGGTTTTTGCTGTTGTTAATGCCCACTTAACAGCCGCAACCACGGCCGCAAGACCGCACCGTGAAAAAGCCTCAACGCTCTCATCTCCGCCACATCCGCTGCGATGTTGAAACGTTGACTTTTGGTTCCCAGCAAGGTCGGTTCCACCCCCCCTCCCCCCCCCGCCCGCCCGCCCGCCTTCGTTTAGATCCGATATTATTTGTTTGGCGAGAAGGTTAAATGATGAAGAAGAAAAAAAAAGGAAACTACTGCAGTTGACATTAGTAATGAGAATAATAATGACAGCTGTGGAAACAGTCCCGTTTTTAACATGAATAATCATGACACGAAAAATTTCCTTCACCGGGTCGGAAATTTAAGCCTATAAATTTTAATTCCATTAACAAGCACATAAAATAATGATATTTATTGTGCATACTGATTTTTATGGCCGGCCGTGCCTTTTAAATTCTGTTGCCTAATCACTAGGAAATGTGCCGCAGTAAAAGTAAATTAAGAAAATAGCATAACTTAGTTAAAAATGAAATTTAAACCCCAGCGGAGGCTATACAGTCTGAAGCTTGATTATTCATAGCCATTCACAGGCTTTGTCGAAAGTTCAGCGCAGCCACTGAGAGAAAGAAAGAAAAAAACTTAACTTTAATTTTACGTCCCGGTTGTAAAATTCCTGACGTGTGACAAACGCCAACCATTAGCATTGTTGCAGCATTGGATTCGGGTGCGCACAGAGAGATAAAAAACGGCATCGTTGATTTCAGAATTTGTCTTTATACCAGAGGAATCCGATGAGCAATAAAGCTCTTTTTCATTAATTTATAGTAGGGCGGGTAAGAACGTTACAACAAACAGTACAAACACTTGGTAGTCGTGCAAAGTACGGGAAAGGTCAACAAATCATCCAAATAAAACTAAACCATCCCCATCCTACCAGGCACAGGCCACTGAGATATTCACTTATTTTTCAGAAGCGACCTGGCCCCAAACGATAGCTCAACAAAAGTGGCCCATCATTTGGTCATTTATCGCATCAGCAAAATCATCTAAAATAGTCCAAAGGCATGTTTCTACATTTTATACAGAGATGTTCGCCCCGCCATGCTTCTCCCCCCCCCCCCCATCGCGAGGCCCCGCGTGACCGTGGGCCCCGCGTGACCGTGGGACATGGCGTGGACACTGCCGCGTGTCCCTCTGTCAGAAGCGCTGACTCGTTGTTTACCGCGAGCCTGCGTCTCCCCTTCTCTTCGGGTGAGCCACGCAGGCTTTGCCCCGCAGCGGCTCGCCGACGCCTAACTCACTCATTCCCCCTGCCCGGACCAGTTCTCTTCCACCACCACCTCCTCCTCCCCCCCCCCCCCCCCGCCAATCATGCAGCCCTGGTGTAGCTTTCAGTGCGTGACAGCTGCTGCTGGTGTGCTTCGCTCACAGAGGGAAAGTGGCCGACGCACACTGGCTATTTCTGTGCGCCATGGGAGCCGCGGATTAGGTAGGCAGACTTGAACTCGGCTAGATGTCCAAAGTGTCACGTGTTGTTGGGACTTAATTGTAACGGCGCATGCCGCGCAGTGTATTGGGTGTTTGTGTGTCTGAAGGGTGCTCAATCATCTTTGAGATTGGACCATTGAACAATGTTTAATGCATTGCCCTACGTGTTACTGGTTTCGATCAGTATATAATTTTGTAGCTTCAAAATACAATTCAGATTTGTCCTGTTTTTTTTTGCGGAAAAAGTTACTACTTCATTTAATTCTCAAAACTTTTGGATTTCCCTGCATATTGGTGCACTCATTTATGATCCAATATACACGTTTGTGTCATGTAATTTGGAAGGTGCTTCGAAGGCTTACAGTCTTCGCTCATTCTTTGTACCAGGCACCTTGCTGCCTTGATATACGTTTTGGAATGAATGCACGTACAAATTTACATTAATAAATATTTAGAACTGCGCAAATAATGTAGAACG